TATTAAGTCTTTAACAAAGAAACAGGGAATGAGAATCTGCACATGTTGAAAGACTTTTTTACACATACACACCTGTGGGTGTATACGCAAATCTAACCCTAAAACTGCACACCAACATGGTTAGGTTCTAATGACCAAATTGTTACACGAAAACCAGCACCACGTGAAAATGGAGGATGACTACATTAAGTAACGAACTACAGGAAGACGACATCATTACACATTAAACCACACAGCTGTTGTGGGCTGCCATCAAGCTGGTTCTGATTCAGAGTGCCTGATTGGACTGAATTATTACCAAAAAGCAACAACAATAACAAAACCAACACCTGTATTTTAACCTCTATGCTGATGGTTCTAATCCCATTTGGGAATAGGTTGTTGCTATAGATAACTGGAGTCCTGGTGGTGGTGGTTACGTCAGTCCACAAGGTCCACATTTCAAAGCCACCAGCAGCTCCGTGAGAGGACGGTGCTTGCTACTCCCATAAAGAGTTACAGTCTCAGATATCCACAGGGGCAGTTCTACCCTGTCCTATAGGGTTGCTATGAGTTAGCATCGAGTTTATAGGCAGCAATAGGCAGGATTAATGTAGAGTAAACTTTTTTTTTAGTATGCTTTTTGAAATATAAGAAGATTAAACAAGCCAGCAGAACCTGGAGATGATGTGATCAATAAGACATAGAAAGCAGAAGCTGAAGCGATGCAGAGACAAAGACCTTGTTCCAGGGCTGAGAGAAAAAGAATCTGCCCCTAGGTCCCCGGTGGAGTACTGGTTAAGTCTTGGGCTGCTCTGCAGTTCAAGACCACCAGCCTCTCTGAGGAAGAGAGATGAGGCTTTCTACTCCAGTAAAAATTTCACCAAAAAGGATATCCAAATGGCCAATGAGTATATAAAAAATGCTCAACATTATGAGCCATTAAGAAGAGGCAAATTAAATCTGTATTGAGATACAATCTCATGGCTGTTAGAATGATTTTTTTGAAAGGAAAAACTACAGACACACAATGGAATACTATTTAGCCAGTAAGAGAAATTTTTTTTTTCTGCTTCTTGTAGAGTGGTTCTCAACCTTCCTAATGCCGTGACCCTTTAATGGTTCCTCATGTTGTGGTGACCCCCAACCATAAAATTATTTTCATTGCTACTTCATCACTCATTTTGCTACTGCTATGAATCGGGTGACCACTGTGAAAGGGTTGTTCGACCCCCAAAGGGGACACGACCCACAGGTTGAGAACCGCTGATCTAGAAGGAGCTGGAATACAAGGGAGTACCTCCCCCCCCCACCAAAAAAAAACCCTGGATTTTTTTCAAAGCCAGTTATTTAAACTTTTTTACAAAACAATCTTATAACCTTCAAAGTACTCTCCATTACACTTAATACATTTGTCAACTCAATGATTCCATTCTTGGAAACATTTTTCAAACTCATCTGTTTGGATGGCTGATAGCACCTCCCTTGTTGTCAAATGCCTTTCATGTCCCTCTGTATTTGCAGAAATAAAAAGAAGTTCCATGGAGCAAGGTCAGGTGAGTAAGGTGTGTGTGGCAAGAGAGGCATGCTGTTTTTTGCCCAAAACTGGCACACTGAGGTGGCTGCATGAGCAGGTGCATTGCCGTGGTGGCAAAGCCAGTCTGCCACAAATCAGACCTTCTTCTCTCCCCACCCCCCCCAGTATTGTAATCTTTTCAGAACCTCTAAATAGAAAGCTTGATTAACAGTCTGACCTAGTGGAAAAAGCCAAATGTACTACCAAAGTCAACATTTTCAAGTAGACATTTTCATTCATTCAGGAAGTTGATGGACATCCAGAACGAGGTTTACTATCAATGGACATTTCACTTTTTTTGAAATGAGAAAACCACTTGTACACTTGAGTTTTTCCCATAGAGCTGTCCTTGTAAGTTATGTTCAACATCACAATGGTTTCTGCAGCATTTTTGCTAAGCAGGAAACAAAATTTCACAACCACACGCTATTCTCTTAAACCAGCCATCACATAAAACGAGGTTAGAACAAACCTACTTTTACAAGAAAATTCACTGTGACCAGAGAGAACCTTCCCAGGCAACACCACTGGGTGCACTAACTCAGAATGAGTTGCTCAATGCTCACCTAGCAGGAAAAATGCATACTATGAAAGCTCCACTTTGCCCAGCACAATTCCGGGTTTTGGGGGTACCTCTTTGTATACTGTGCTGAGTGAAATAAATCAATCATAAAAGATAACAAAAATGTATGAAGGGCAGAGTTTATTAGAAGTTAGCAGGGACAAGATGAGGGGATAAAAGGAGTGCTAACAGTGATGAAAATATCTCACTGATTAAGTGTAGCATTTCACAGCAGACTATTGTAATTCCTGTCAATAAAATATACACCTGTAAAAAGTTACTTGGCAGAAGTTGAGCAACATAGTTATAACAATTACTCCTCTCACAAAAAAAAAGTTAATAAAATGAGTACAGCTGAGGCTGCTTATGTACTACCAAAAACCTCATCAGATTTGGTTCCTTGATTTGGAGTTTAGGGTTAGGATTTCATGGGACATCCCAGTTAATTGGCCTACTAACGTGTTTGATGTTTCTGTAGCGTGTTGCATAGTACCTGGGATCTTGAAAGCTTGTAAGCAATCAAGGCACATCAATTAGTCTCTATTCTCCTGGAGCAACAAAGGAAGAGAGGAATAAGAGGAGGATATGGAATGAATAGCTAATTGCCTCTATAAACAACTACCTCCAAAGTGGATAATACCCAACTACCTTTACTGAGCATTTTGTCCAAAGATTCTAAAGAATTCTAATCAAAGGAGGGGCATGGAGAACAGAATTTCAAATGGTCATGAATTCTAGACTTTCTGGAGTCATGGGGAGTGCTTGAATCCCTGAAATTATTGCCCTGACAATGGTTACACACCTTAAAGAATGTAATAAACTAATTTATTACATTACATTAAAGAATGTAATAAACGTAATCAACTAGTAATTGTAAAAATGTTGAACCAGTATAAGCTTTGCTATGTATATTCTCAATAACAATAACAAATTTAAAAGGAAAACAACAGTGTTGGTGCAGTTCTGAAGAAACTGGCACCCTTTGGTGGAAGTATAAAATGTGGGGGTGGAGGGGGCATCATAGAAAAGTTTAGCAATTTCCTCAAAAGTGTAAACCTCTGAATAATAAGCTTGCAACCCATAAAGTTTTACAGATTTTCAGAGTTTTTCAACAGAGGATTTCTATATTATATTTCTAATATAAACTACTCCCTCGCTTCAGTGTCTTGGAGTATATCTTAGTGCGTAATTTACAGTCAATAATTTCAGTATAATGAAAGACATCACAAACTAAGTCATATGAAAGACAAGTGGTCGACTAGGAGAATATATCTAATTTGCATTAAAAATAAACACAAAATTTTATGTATGATAATATGACAGTATGATAATCCTATTAATCTATAACAAGCATTAAGCAGAAAAGACAAACAACCCAATCAAAAAGTGAACAAAGGCTAAAATACAATTCATAGAAGAAATGTAATAGGCCAATAAAAATAGGAAAAGAAGCTCAATCTCACTAGTAAAGAAATACAAATTAAAAGATTGGCCACTTAACATCCTATATATTTTGGTCTAAAACCTTTCCTATATAGGTATAATTTCCTTTAAAATCTACACCACTAGGTAGATAAATGATACTATTATTAAAATTATCAAATGCCACAAAGAGGTTACTTAAACTATTTTTAAACAAGCTGATAATGCTGCCTCTAAAGTGGAACAGGTATATATACTTTAGATATACAAATGGATTTTGAGCTCCCGCTTAGTCATAAGCCATAATCTAAGAACAATTACCTCTTGCCATGTTGACCCAGCTCAATACTTGCCCTCATGAAGTGTTCCCTGAAGATATGGACCCTATGGTAAAGTGTGGCGAAAAAATCAGATGGTACCTGGCTATCAGAAAGAAGTATGTGTGAGATCTTAAAACAAACAGCCAAAAAAACAAACAACAAAAAAAAACAAACAGCCATCTAAGTGAGGTGACAGCTATGTCTACACAGAAGCACACCAGCCCATGTGATCCAGGGATTGTAAATAATAGAATCTAAGAGCAGAGGAGGGAACTGTATTAGAGCTTAAATTCTGAGCACCCGGTTTAGAGAATGGTATGAATTACAGTCTTGTCTTCAGACAGAGTGCACTGGATAGTAGATCACTGCAGACATAGGTTAAAATTGAGCATAATGACAATATTATATTATATCCACAGAATACTAAAAAGTAATTCAGGACACTGATGCAGCTGGGATTATTTAAGATAGCTCTCTATCACTTCTCGGCCTTTTGGCTAAGATCAAGTGTAATAAGATAGCTCTCTAGACACATTATTAACTGAAAGGAATAAATGGCAAAATATTTACAATATATTTTTTTAAATAAAAAGCTATATATTTGTATATAGCTATACATAAAAGGTCTAGAACAGTAGTTCTCAACCTGTGGGTCACAACCCCTTTGGGGATCGAACGACCCTTTCACAGGGGTTGCCTGATTCATAACAGTAGCAAAATTAGTTATGAAATAACAACAAAAATAATTTTATGGTTGGAGGGGGCGTTCACCACAACATGAAAACTGTATTAAAGGGTCATGGCATTAAGAAGGTTGAGAACCACTGGTCTAGAAAAATCAAACTGAACTGTCAATACATTATAAGAACCTATTCCTGTGTGTCTTTTATATTAAATTATTTTCTCTTTATTAAAATAACTTCAAGATTTAGAATAAACTTTTAGTTATAAAATAATCTACAGTTTTAAAAACATACTTACATAGAGTGATGAGACTTGAAATTTAATGAACACAATTAAATTTTTATAGTCAACCCAGTTTCCTCAAGTTTCCCAAGAATATAGTCTAAAGAATAATCCCTAATCTAGTTTCTGAACAGAGCAAAACTGGTATCTATACAGTGAGGCTTGAAACACTTACCTTCAACTGGGCTAGTATCTGAGCATGGTTTCTTCTTCAAATCTGAGTTCCCAATGTTTTCATCAACATCCAGGAGAGGAATATAGTCTGTTTTTCCAACAGTTTCTCCCACAACATCATCAAAGGCCTCTGCCTCCAGGGTGGCGATAAAGTCCCGCTTTATCTCTCCCTCAATTTCTGGAGTTGGTTCCGTGAGTGCATCTACAAGACTGAGGTCAGCCATTCTGCACCGCAAACGCCTGTTTACATAGGAGAAAAGTTGGGTCGTGAGAAGCACTGCAAAGAGAAAACAATTCTTAGAAACTCATTGACTGTTTTACAAACAAAAAAACCCAAAACATAAAATGTTAAAGCTGTAAGATGTTTCCTCCCTTCACAATGATAAAATTAAGATCTAGAAAGGATGTATCATCTCTGGGATGTAAGCAGAGCACGTGCCATTTTGCCCTTTTCATAAATTATGAAAATGAAGTGCAAAAAGAAATAGTCAACAGACATCCAAAGACTTAATCAAGATATTTTTATGTCAATTCCCATACTTTTTCAATTATTTAAAAATAAAAACAAAACAAAAAATTGCCATCGAGTCAATTTGGACCATTTATGACCCTGTGACAGGGTAGAACTGACCCAGGACTTCCAAGAGTATAACTCTTGATGGAAACAAAGTTTCATCTTTCTCCTGAGAAGTAGCTGGTGGTTTCAAACTGCTGACCTTGAATCTAGCAGCCCAATACATAACCCACCACGCCACCAGAGCTATAGGGTCGCTGTGTTGAGTTGGAAATGACTTGATGGCCAAGAGTTTGAGTTTTTTATTCCTTATATAATCCTTTCCAAATAATTGTCCCAAAATAATTTTAAAAAATCATTTTATTGGGAGCTCTTACAGATATTATAACATTCTATATTTCAATCATATCAAGCAGTATTGTACAATTGCTACCACAATCAGTTTCAAAACCTTTTATTTTTCCTTGAACTTCTTGATGTCAGCTTCCCTTTACTCCCATCACTCTCCCACCACCTCCCCCAGGAACCCTTAATTCTTTTTTTTCCCTCCCTATATTAGTTTTTTTTGGGGGGCCCTATCTTACACAATCCAATATATCCATTCACGTACAATTCTGTTGTTTGTTCCTATTGAGTGGGATTATACAGTCATCGATGCTACTAACTTCCCAGTCCGCATGAGGCCCCCCTTCCTCCCCCTCTCTTCCAGTACCCTCAGGGAACCATTTACTCCTGCTATTCTTCTGAAGAGTTATCTATCTTGACTTTCATGTACCAAACGATCTTAAATATACAAATGAGCCTATGCTAATCTAACATGATTGAGGTTAAAAAAAACACAAACATAATAAAGGGAGGAAATATTAAAGAACTAAAGCAGTTCTCAGCCTGTGGGTGACGACCCCTTTGGGGACAAACGACCCTTTCACAGGGGTTGCCCGATTCATAACAGTAGCAAAATTACAGTTATGAAGTAGCAACAAAAATAACTTTATGGCTGGGGGGTCACTCAACATGAGGAACTGTATTTAAAGGGTCCCGGCACTAGGCAGGTTGAGAATCACTAAACTAGAGGATAGCTATGTGGTTCATCAGTGCCATACCATACCCTGGATTTATCATCCCTTCTCTGTGGCCCTTCTGAGAGGGGCTGTCCAATTATCTTACAGGTAGGTTTTGGGTCTCTACTATATCCCCACCACTTCACATTGATTTGGTTGCTTGTTTCTGAACTCCAGAATAATTTTTTAAAGACTACACAAAGATAGGTCAGATCAGATTACATTCCTATTAAGAAAGTTGCACTACTCAAAGGTAAATGATGTCACCTTTCTTGATCAAAGACAATTGGCATGGGCCTTATCTATTAAAGTAAATGCTGATTCCTCAAAAATCACTTGGGTTTAGCCCTGAGAACTAAACTATAACACCTAACCCTGTTGACAGGGGAAAAAAAGACATTTTCCCTGAATCAGCTAAAGGAGATGATCTTTCTCTGAGGTCATATACTTCAACATCTTTACAGAATACTTAATTCTTAAACATAATCTGAAGTTATAATCTATTCTCGGCACAGGTGTAAGTGGGTAGCTTAGAAAATACAGGGAAGAAATGTTGTAAAATGAGGTACAGAGCTTTCAATAAATTGATCGCCTATCAATTTTAAACCCCCAAACCCAAACCCACTACCACCAAGTCTATTTCGAGACATCTCAACCCTATGTAGGGTTTCCAAGACTGGAAATCTCTATAGGTATCTTTCTCCTGCGGAGGGGCTGCTGGGTGTGAACCCACAGCACCATTAAGGGTCCTTGCAAAGCACAATAACCCCAACAAAAACCAAACCCACTGCCATTAAGTCAATTTAAGGTTTCCAAGACAGTAGATCTTTATGGGAACAGCCAGCCTTATCTTTCTCCCACATAGAAACTGACATGTACAAGAGGAAGCAAGGGAAGATGTGCACAATCGCTGCCTTCAAGGAGTCTATCTCACAGAGACTCGAAGACACTCTTACAGGATAGATAATTATACCGATGAACTGAATTCTTGACTTGGAAAATGTAAGTTAAACAATTCTTACGTTGTCTAGTAAAATGACTAATACTTCTGCCTAGAAATTTATTCTCCCTTCCTTCCTTATTCCTTCTTTCACACCAGGCCCTACCTACAAAGGGTTAGGCACAGGACTAGAGGTGGGCTGATCAGAAGACACTGCAAGGAAATGGTTGGGACAGGACACCCTGAAAGAAGGTCCACCTGTGGTAGCTGTTCAGTCCCCTGGTTGTTTTTTTTTCTTGATCTTAAGTGAATGACCTTTCAATAAATCTTTTGCTTGTCTAATTTAGTCAATCTTTTAGCACTGCTTGCAAGTGAAGAATCCCGACTGACAGTGACAGTCTTTTCACTTTCTTTGCAGCTCAAATTCTTTTCCTTTTTATTAATCATTTTATTGGGGGGCTGTTGCAGATCTTATAACAAGCCATAATTCAATTCTATTAAGCACACTTGTACATATGTTGCCATCATTTCTAAAACATTTTCTTTCTACTTAAGCCCTTGGTATCAGCTCCTCTTTTTGCCTCTCTCTTCCTCAGCCTCCCAACTTTGTGAATCCTTGATCAATTATATATTATGATTATTATTTCATATCTTACACTGTCCATTGTCTCCCTTCACCCACATTTCCATTCGTCCCCCTGGGTGGGGTGTTATATATCCAACCCCCCAGTCCCTGCTCAAGTTCTTAAATAAAATTTTGCTAAGATTCAAGACAGGATTATGCTCTGCACATCTTTTTTGTTTTCTACTGTGCTTTACAGGGAGCCCTGGTGTTGTAGTGGTTATGTATTGGGCTGCTAACCTCAAGCTCAGCAGTTTGAAACATCCAGTCAGCTCCATAGGAGAAAGACCAGGCTTTCAACTCCCATAGAGTTACAGTCTTAGACACTCATTTGGGCCGTTCTATGATGTCTGACCTATAGGGTCACTATGAGTCAGCACTGACTTGAAGGCAGTGAGTGATTGTACTTTAAATACTGTAGGCATTCGATTTAATTGAAAGCTCTGTAGCTCATTTTATTTTTTATTTTTGGGGTTTTTTATAGCTCATTTTAAAAATAAAATTATTTCTGTGTTTTCTAGGCGATTCTTTTTCAGCTTTGACTATTAACTTCAGATTAAAAGTTAAGAAACTGGTATTCTGTAAAGATAATCCAGCTCTCTGCTCTCATTCTTTTTTGTCAACCTTTCTCCAACAGCTGAACACACAGACCCCTGTCCTCCAACTTACATTGTTCTTCTGTGTTACAAATACAAAAGTCACAGAACTTTTATAATCCTTTTCCTTTTTTGTTTCCCTATGACCACACTACCACAATTACAAAACAGGCATAAAGTAAATCCTTCTAGAGCAATGAAAAATCAGAAGTCATTCCATCCTCAATTTCTAAATATAGTACCTAAAAGGTTTTTTTTATATGTTTCAATGTGGTAAAAATATGAGTGATAAAACAAGACATTAGAGTTGGGATACTAAACCAGACTAGCATAGATTGTAAACTTAGTTTATAGAAGCTATGTCCAGAGGGGATTTTCAATAAAGACAGAAAGAAAACAGCCAGGGTGGCTGAACAGCTCCTTTCCAGGAGCAAATCCTAGTTCTTTTATGCAAGTGTCTAGAGAAAAAAAATTTGTCTGTCCGGTGCATGAACTGTTATGGAAGAGCTTGTCCTTACATATGGGACTTGGTGAAAACATTGCAGATTCTTTATGCTACATAATTTAAAGAGAAAAATACCTGAATGTGAAATTATATTACGTATTCAATTCATATAGACTATTAAATAAAATCTTCAAACTGTTTAATAATGAATTTGAGCCTATGGCTATGAGCCTAGTGTTTTTTTCCCATCAGGCTTCTTATTTGAAAGGGCTACCTTAAATCCTGATCTAGACTTTTTAATGTTAATCTTTTCACATTCTAGATCAGCGGTTCTCAACCCCCTTGGGGGTCGAACAACCCTTTCACAGGGGTCACCTAATCATCAGAAAACACATATTTCGGATGGTATTAGGAACCAAGACATGGCTCCTCTATCCTTCTCCATTGTCAGGTCCGCCCACATGCAGATCCGCCCACATATGAGTACCCAGCGCGAAGCCTGTTACCAATGCTACATCATGCTTCAAGGCAAAATTTCATTTATTAGAAATAAGTATTTCACCATATAATTACATATTGTTTTCGTGATTAATCAGTTTTAATTACGTTCAATTTGTTACAATGGAAAATATATCTTGCCTATCAGATGTTTTTACATTATGATTCATAACGGTAGCAAAATTACAGTTATGAAGTCACAAGGAAAATAATTTTATGGTTGGGGGTCACCACAACATGAGGAACTGGCATGAGGTCATGGCATCGGGAAGGTTGAGAACCATCTAGAACCACTGTTCTAGATGATTCCCACTGATGGGAAATCATGTTCAAAGGGTTGGAAGCAGACCCTTTTCTTAAAACAAATGTGATGTTTAATTTCCTATACTATTGTTAATGGGCTCCTAAATATTTTAAAGAGAATAAAGTTTTTGCTTCAAGCATAAATAGCTGTTGCTACTCATTTTAATAAAAATTGACTCTTATACAAGGGCTAATATAATTTTAACTGTACATTGCAATAGGCATCTCCCAAATATAACCTTCCTTGCCTTGGGTTTATAA